ACAATGATTGGATTTAACTCAAGGTAAACAACGATTGGGTTTAACTCGAGTTAAACAATGATTTGTGTACAGGCCTAAATGTACGACAACAGTCACATCCAGTATGAAACACAACATTACGTCTAGTTTGTAGTTCGCACTTTGCCAAACTTTTTCTGCCACAGAGTATTTGTCATCACCTGGGGATGCACACGAGCTCTCTGAGTGGAACACAAACTTCAGAGCCTCGGGGCTTCACAACAAACCCTGAATAGAACCCACACTTTTCAGAAAACAGGGTAAAATAAGCACCACTGATGCTGACCGCCACAGATGTCACTTATCTCTCCTGGGAAGCTCCCACCCAGAGGCTTCAAACTTGGAGCCTCCTTACACAAAGCCACAGTAAAACCGCTCACAAAAGATGCGGTATCATTACAGTTTTCATAAAACGACGGGGGAAAATTCAAAGATGTGCTCCTCTGACCTTTTAATACAGAATCGTATATTTTCTTACACGGCCTTTTGTACGAGCCAGTCCCCAAAGACTTCATCAAACATTTCACGTCTCGGTGGTTTTACTTAATCTTTTAGAAAAACTAGCCAAACACGAACTGCAGGTATTTGATACAGATATGCTTCATTGTGGTTCTAAATGAACTCAATCCACATTAAAGTGTAAAAATCTCCACCTCAGCTACCAAAGTGCTCCAGAACAGTTGCTTTCACTAAAAACCCAGTAGCTGTTTTAACAACCCAACTAAGGTGTGTTGACATGTAGTGACAGTACGAGTGTATAAGATCCATTTGGCATCTGCGTTTCTCGTGAACGGTTTTAAGCTGCTCTCTCTCTCCTGCCTCTTCCTGCAGACTGTTCCTTGAGCTATCCGTTGGGGAAACACGTCATCCACGAGGTCTCCAACATCTCCTTCAGCCATCTGGCCTGCGAGGACCAGGCCGCCGTGGTTGTCCACTGGTCTGCAAGTCCGCTAGGTATGGCCTGTCCTTTCACCAGTCTGTTACCTGTCCAGGTGTCTCTGTCGGTGTGATTTGGAGGTGAAAGAGTGGAAAGTTGGGGAAGGAAAACTGAGCCTGCAAACCCTTCAGAGCTAAGATTACCGAGCACTGTGTGTCCCTTTGATCAGACCTGGAGCTGGAGAGACCGAGGATCACATCTCACACAACAATACCACGATCTGACCGTGAAGGAATGTGTGTGTGTGTTTGTGTGTGTGTGTGTGTGGGGGGGGGGGGGGGGTAAGGTAAAGCCCTCTCTCTAACAAAATGGGTTGTTGTGTTCTGGTAGAGGCAGAAAATGTTGCTGCAGACTGACATTCGAGCAGCAACCATTAGGAAGAAATTCATGAAAGTTTGTTGACCTCTTTATTTATTTGCAGCTTCCTCAGTTTAAAGAACCAAAACTAATTAGTCTTTGCGCTCCTTTATCTGCTGCTCAAAAGTTTTCTTTGGTTCAGGTTTTCAAGTTCAAAGTTTCTGTTTTTCTACAGATTTTTTCGTCTTCATTTTCAGAGTTTGAACTTTGAGTCTCAAGATATTTGTCGTCTTGTTGCTTCTTCTGCAGAAGTTTTATGACAACTGACCTGTTCTAAATAAAAGTTTATGTTTAAGAGTTGCTCTAAGATTTTGTATGGAAGCCTTTGTTCCATGTGTAGGGTTCATCCTCTGAACACTTAGTTAAATAATTATCATAACTTTATTAAAAGTTAAACAATTAAAAAATGTCTGCAGAGGAGGTGAGGCACACAGGATTAGTTTAGATCTGTTTAAACTGAGGTTCTGTGAAAAGGTTATGAATAAATGTTGTCTTACCTGTTGTAGATAGGTCTTTGAACAGCCTCTTTTTGCAGAAACAGTTTGATTTTGAGCAAACTGACGAGCTAATGGCTAGTCCAAGAGGTCAAGCTGCTGTCTTAAAGCGACGCCCAACTAAAAACATTTGAAAGAAATTCATTCAAACCTTTTTTCAGAAACCTTTACCTGCCATCAGTTTGAATTTGAAGGTTATACCAACAACAAATGGATGTGATATTCCTTGTGGCAGTGCCCCAGGCCTCATAGGAAGTGCTACAGCTAGATGCTGCTGACACTATTCTTCCTTGCAAACAACCAAAGAAGGTTATGAAATTTAAAGACCTTTCCTTGAAGGAATGAATATTTCCTGGTGATTCTTCTACTAGAAGTTTATACCAAGGCCCCGTTTGCACGTGGACAATTTCTGGAAGTGTCAGGGATTTTCCGATGTTTTATTGCGTAAATGTTTACACAACTCTGTAATCACAGTCACTGTTTGGATGAGATTACAAAACAAACATTAAATTTGTTGTTGTTTTCATGCCAGGTCACTAGATGGTGCTGGGACTTTTGTATTTCATCCACGCACGCATGTGCACAGACGCTTTAGTCTCGAGTCATGAAAGCAATTATTTCCAAAATGGCTAAACGTCCAGTAGCATCTTCTCGTCCTACTTCTTTACCTTACAGTTTCATTCAGCTGACGCAGAACATCATGCAGTGCGATTTGTTCTGTAGTCAAAGCTCTGGTAAACTGACAAGAGTGATCAGGACAAACAGCACTCTCCTACCCGCCATTGACCTTTCCCTTAAAGAAAAACGCGATCCGTTTTCAAAATCCCCCCCCCCTTAGACCGGGATTCAAAAGGTTTTGGTGTCAGAGGAAACAGCCGCTGTTGTTGAACACAAACAGCCGAAACACAGCAGAAATGAAAAACTTAAAGCTGGCATCAGGAAATGATGGAGTTGTAGCCGTTTTGGCCAGACCTTGAAGATAACATCATGTGTGGTCTCAGGAAATATTGCAGATATATTGGAAATATATCTGGAGTAGGCGTTGTGCATGACTCTCGGCTACTACCACACCAAAAATTATTTAAACATCTGTACAACTCTGAGTTTTAGCCTTTTTAGTGTTTTCTAATGTCAGTTGGGCTGTTTTGAATTGGGTTGAGTCAGCTGTATATGAACATCATGAGATATTTTGCTAACGGTTCATTCCAATAGGTAATGGCAGCTGACACTCAGATTGCCAGCAGGGATCAGTCTCTGCTACTACCACACCCCATTTATATTTTACTATCGGTAAAACTGACCGAGTTGTATTTTAGTGTAAAATGGAGCTCGTGTGAAACTCTGTGAATCACGTCTGATTTATTACGGCAGCAGAGAAACGCAGATCTGCCCGGAGACATAAAAACCAGTTCTTCCACTCGGTCCGTGTCTTTTGCCGAGCTAATGGAGAGAACAGGCCCAGTAAAAGTTGTAATTATAAAACAGATGTGTTTTCAAAGAGGAGAGGGTGGGAGGACAGGAAATAAGAGGGCTGGACACAAACTGACATCCTGACGTCTTCGTCTTGACCTCGTTTGAAAACATCCAGAACCAAGGTGGTCGAAAAAATACATGGATAGATTTAATTTTTATAGTTAGAGGAGTAAACTACATAAACTTTCTGTTTTAATCTAATAGCATCATATTGCAAGCATCGTGATAATTAACTTAAAGGTTTGGTCATTTAAATGTTTTCACCTGCTGCTCACTGTCCTGACCTCAGGGTTATTTACGTAAATCTGATCTGGTAAAACTTCTCTTTAAATAATCTTATCTCTCTAACCGTGCTGCAGCGTTTCTTGTGCTGAAGAAGCTCGTTAAAGGACCTTAAAGTTACTTTCTTTGATACGTTAGAGCTGCGATTCACAAAGACCGGGTCAGAACCCCTCGGTGGGCCAAGAAGCCCCAAGTGGGGGATCTCAGAGATCTTCAGGAGTCAAAGTAAATCTAAAAGTTGATGCGGATGCGTTTGATTCTTAGTAAACGTTTGACTTATTGGCATTTTAAAACTTCCTGAATCTAATTGTGAAATAACTGATTGAATTAAACTGGTTGAGTTTAAATCTGATGGTTTTATTCTGAAATGTTCGTGTGTGAGCGGATATTTGATCATGCTTGTTGTCGGGTGCCCTGAGGTGCCTTTTATTGTGAAACGGTCATAACTCAACTGTATTTAAATGTATTAATTAGTTTTCTTCAACTAGTTTGTCTCTGCCGGGGTTATTTTATAAATTTAAGAACAAACCGTTTCAGAGAACTCAACCGGTTCTGCTGCTGTTTGAATACTTTCAATCGTTTTAAGCATTCAAGTTAAACTACTTCAAATAACAAAATGGAAGTGAGGAGAAGAGACGAGACGTCACGAAGAAGCAGAACCGTAAAAAGCGGGCGAGGAAAGAGGGAGATGTGAGGAAAAGATGGACGAGTGTGAGCTCTGTGTCTCTGCAGGGATCGAACACGTTAAAGGTTTCAGAGTTTACCTGGAGGAGAAAAGTCCTGAGGGGAAGCAGTGTCAGCACCTCCTCCTCAAAGACCCGCGGCAGCTCAACTTCTCCTACAGGAACACGGTAAGACGGACCCTCAGGACCGGGCCTTCACACGTCTCAACACAAAGTCGACAAAAAGAGCAAAAATCAGGAGCACATCTTAACATGTTAAAAAATAATTTAAATATGGAACAAACTTGAATCAGTTTTACAGTTGCGTTTGATTAATAAAACTTTTTCTGCTTTATTAACTATTATTTCAATTTCTCTCATCAAACTGAAGAACATGGTTTTTATTCATGTTCTGTAATTATCAGTCATTTCTTTGAACTTTTACATGAATTTTATTTTTAGCCACACTTATACTCTAGTATAAGTTTCACTTTTATGTCACTAAACATTTTTTATTCTAACGGTAGAAACGTTACCGTTCACTAAACTGCTTTTTTCACCCCTCCACCTCCTGACAGTATTATTTATATATTAACATTCCTGTAAATAACTAACAAAGTCCATGCTCAATAATCCAGGTATACAATCCAACAATGTTCAGTCAGGTCAGCACAAAAATAAAAGAAACTGTCCAGATGACCTGACTGAAAGTTGTTGGATTCCTGGTAATAATGTAAACAACAAATTGTGGTAATTCAACCACAAAGTTTCTTAATTAAGACTCAATTGATTGCAGTTTATTCTAGTCTTCATTCAATCACAATTTGGTTTAATTGATTGTCAAACACTCCCAAAGTTTTGCACATTTCTCACACTGACTCACAGAAACTGAATTGAGACAGGTTTGAGACCAGAATTAGACAAGTTTAAGACAAGAATGAGATGGGTTTGAGACAAGAATGAGATGGGTTTGAGACCAGAATGAGATAGGTTTGAGACCAGAATGAGATAGGTTTGAGACAAGTTTAAGACAAGAATGAGACATGTTTGAGACAAGAGTGAGACAGGTTTGAG